TCGGTTGAGCCGATATGCATGAGGACAATCGGTGACCCACTTTTTTGATTAATTTTTTGGTATTTCTTTTTCCCTTTTCAACAGATCGGACCATACATATTTAGGCATTATTGTTATCAGGTGGGCATTCGGCTATTTCGCAATAGGCCACCGTCATTTTCTTGCTCTGTGGTTGGTATTGTTCCGGAGACCCGACTGATGTACTGCACTACATAAACCATACTCGGTTTCCTCTCTCTCAAATATTTGTATGAAAGGGAAAATAAGAAAGTAATTTAGACAAGAATAAAAATTAGCTTAAGTAAGTAGTCGCTCGCGCAGATCAGCGTAAGGAGTTCCCGCGTGATCGACACCACAAGCCAGCATTTGATTCGACTCGGGGCCTTTCCCTCGCCAACCGTGTCACTCAACTTGACGGCGGCGGGTGCATATCATGGACCCTCCGTCCATCGAGGTTCAGATTTCATTCGACCGTCTGCACCTCATTTCCCCACAATCTGCCGTTCGCGCAAGAAAGAGAAAACTCTTATCAAGATGGCGGAAGTTCCATTTAACCAAATGAGGCAGTCACTGTTCCGCTTTGTTGGGATTTTCCCAACTGACGCGGCACAGTGGTCGTAGTGGGTGTTTCATCTACAATCTTATCTGTGGGAGAAGGAGTGAGGGGTATTGTACAGGACCTGCTGCTGAAGCATGGATCCCTATCTGATCCAAGGAACTCGACATTCCTGCGAGTCAGACTGTCATCTACTTTAAAACCTCGTGACCCGGGAGATTGTCTGTATGGAATGTTCCTTGAACTCCGTATCGAGGCAATCTCTCTAAACTGTTCCACAGTCACTCTCCAGCTGCCTTGGATGGTGGGGAATGGACATTCCTACAGAATCCGAACGCGATAAGTTCTGTGGAGTAGTAGCACTGTGGGTGCTGGTCTCGAGACTACGGCGTCTGTGAGAAGTATGGAGAAAGCATCATACGGTGCGGAGTCACACCGAATTTCAACTACAGGCGATGTACCATGGCTCCATTGATTTGCCGGAGTTATATGGAGAACAAACTTGAGAATGGAGACAAGTGGATATGGAATGGTAATGCATAATCTACTAGGAACGGAAGGGCCCCTTCAAACGGGGATAGGGATCCTCATTTTCAAATTGGCAGGAGCGCCGTTTCATTCCCTTTATCGTAATAGAGCGACCAGGTTTCATTGTTGATGGAGTATTCTCCATATTATTTGATATCGTCTACGGAGATTTTCTATTCCAACGCCTTCAGAGGTGGCAAAGAGTTTAAATAAACCCCGAGCTTCTCTTCTTCCTTTGTTTTCTTTTTTTTTTCTTTCTCTTTTTGTCTTTTGATTTTTTTTATCGCATTCCCAGCCCTCTCTACTCCATATGAGGGGTTAATGTCGACCTCTGAAATACGTATGTCAAGGGAAAATAAAAGTAAACAAACTTTTTTACCCTCGGAGTGGTTTTAGCTTGCCCAATGCGGCGGTGCAATTCAACTACTTAATAAGCGGCTCCTGTTATGACAAATGCCTCGACCCCTCTGGCCTCGACTTGCTTCACATACCAAATGCAGGGTTGGAATGATGACAATCCGGGGCTCCAACATGACAACTCCTACGTGGCCAAAGTAAAACGGTGCATGATTGGAAGAGTAAGCGCACGTTCCTCTTGATAATTTATTCAGGAACCCTGAATGCTGTCAGAGTGACATGTGTAAAAAGAGGATAGTCCATATCCATGTCTGCACCAGTCCCTTCCTGGTATGAGCGACGCGGTTTCAGGGGCGGCGTTAAGGACGGGGGTCTCAACGAGGGATGATCATAACTAATCCTGGTCGACCTACGAACAAAGGGTCGCTTCGTTACAAGGTATATCTGGGGAATAACCGAAGATGTGGAGTACAGACTAGCCAGTGGGAAAAACGACTTCCAAGTTCCTACACAGTATAATGATCATCCCATATCGAACAACGGTCGGCCAAATCCAGAAATAGTCGACGTTGGATGATTAGCGTGCTCGCACTCGTAAGCGATATCAAAAGGTTCATATCGTGTGTGTGCAAGTTCCGCTTAACTAATTATGCAATCTGTGACCACAGAAACCATACATACTAGTACTTATCTCGCTGTATGTGCATACACTTTTCTCTTAACAACCTATCAGTAGTAGTATTGTGAAAGGTACCTGACCTTTGGGAGCCACGAACCCAGAAAAGTCAATTCCCGTCTGCCAGGAGCTTGCCTGTGTATTCAGGCACAATGGACGGTTTCCCCGCATCTGCTCACATGATTATGGTTATTAGAGGCACTACTCGAGTAGTACCTAAAGTAACAGTAGCACTAGTTACAACAGTTCAATTTGCACAGTCTCGGATGCCACGAAACTTGGCACATAATTGTCCATATTGCGATAGTCAACGTACAGCTGCATGTGCAGTCAAACACCTGCGGCCCCCATCCGGTACTCCCGCCGTTTTTATATATCTCCGGTTGCATATTGTCAAGCTTACGGGACAGTTCACTATGCATTGCAGATACTTCAACATGAAACGTCAGTACGACTTATGTTGACCAAGGAGTTCTCCCACGCTGACGAATCGATGGGAATCCCCGTGCCCGTAGAAGTATTTACTACTCTAGTCACACAGCGCCCTCGTCCGCATGCAGAGCTTATCCGCTTCCCACAACCCAAGAATCATATGATCATTCCATCGGAACGTATGGTTCCACTACGACTACTAAGTATTGAATAGTTTAGTTCTTTCACCTTCCTTTTCTTTCTTTCTTTTTTTCTATCTTCTTTGCCGGCATTGCCATTTCCGTACCATTGGTGTAAAGCCAGCGAGATGGTCATGTTAGCCACGATTAGCGGAATCTGCATGTCGCTTGAATGGGTAGTCACTAAGCGGGGCTTCGGCCGGTGAGGAAGACACACTCTTTGATATTCTGACATAGCCCTGGCTGACTGAGATCCACCAAAGCTTTCCTTCGTTTTCTTACTTTTTTTTCTTTTTTTTTTCTCTCATCGTATGTAAAGTACTCCGTACACAGAAGGCATTCATACTAGATGGTCAGTGCCAACATAAACTACACCTCAGTTTTACGGGTAGCACCGCCCTTAGACGTCTAGGCGAAACTAAACCAAAAAACAAGAACACTGCCGGCTAAACTTTGATCACCGCAAGTTGTATGAAGATTGACTGAATATTCCTTGGAAGTAACCTTCCCTGTCATGACCCACCCATGTGACCCGCAGCAGACTGTTATGTGTGCCTCGGAGATAACTTTTAGTTGCTGATGGGTTAGCGCTATCAATGTACATGATGCATCGCTACTCCGGGTGGACGCTAGTGACAAGGTACCAGATATGTAGGTCGAACGAAGTAGAAAATTCCCTTTACTCTTATCTTGCTCGATGTTATGTCTGGACAATACGTAAAGCTCGCTCTTTGCAGTACTGTATAATACCTTACATTCGGTGTGTTCAGTGAGGTTTAAGACATGCAGTGGATACCTCTCATTCTGTCAACGTCTGGATGTCAGCTTGTTCGAGACTGGGATCGGGAATGGACTGTCTTACATTCCTCTGCATACTTGCGAAGTCATATCTAGTCAATCGCGAATATTAATACCGGTAGTAATAATGTATAGCAAGACTGGTTCACTCTGGAACATTCGAGAAGAAGAGTATACAATGCCCGATACAATATCTATCTACTCGCATCTCCTGGGACAAAAAAAGCGGTAAAATCGAACGGAGTTCCGGTTCTACTTCTAAGTTCTAACAGTGGAAACTGACTCAACTCGTGATATTTATAGATCTAGTGGGCCACCATCACAAAAGTTGGCCCATTGCGCGCTCGCTCCTTGCATCGCGGTTGGTCGAATCGTGTCCCTACACTTGCGCTGATGGAGACCCTGTGAGGTGTCTGTATCGGCTTTTATTTATTGTCAGCCGTTGTGCGTGTACTAAGGTTCGTTCCTTGGTACGGATGGTACATTGATTGGTAGATAGGGTTGGGTGCGAGGTGGGATGTCTCACTATTCGACGCCCTACCGCGGAACTAGTAAGAGGATCGTATTTCTTAGACTCGGGACATAGATATACTTATATGATAGGAATAGTCCAGGGTATCCGATCGGTAGTATGTGTATACTGATTTAGAACATATAGTTGTATGAATCAAACACTACGTACTACCTGATGGATCTGGACTATAAAAGACGAATGCACCACATTATCAGCAAATATATTGGATCCTGAGCTACAGGCTTAGATTAATATTTTCTCTTTGGCGTTAGTCCTCAGTGTACCTCTATACAACTTTGATTGCCCAATCATTAGAGATAATATTGAACTATGCATACCTTGACGATGCAAAAATGGGTGAATATAAACATTATAGTTAAGGTGGCACACTGGTCTCCCATATGTACTCTAGAAGCTGTTTCTCAGTGGATAAAGGACCTTGCCTTAGGCCTCCAGCGAAGTTCGTCCTGTTCCTACAGTTGGCCCTAACAGCAGATATAAGGCCTCCTGTGGCAGAGGCATATATGGACCTCACATTACGACAATATCCGAGTGAAGAACTATACCATCCCTAAGTCAAGTCAGTATAAATATCTATACTGCTACATCTCATAGATTGCTTGTGGCTCTCAATCAAAGAGCGTCAGACCAAATTCACTCTGCTAAACACATCCAAACAAGCCCTGCCTAACATGACACTGATGCTATATTCACTGCTTTCATTCACCAAGCATATATACAAAACAACAACTTACACTTACATAGATATCCAGTAACACAAACAAACATGGCCTCTCGCACCTTTCGAGACCATGTAGCCACCACACTCATCTCCAAATGCCTCCACCCATCATCACATCTTCCAATTGCACAGCGTCCCTGGAAGTAGCCAGGCCCGGCACAAGCTCACCCCCAGTACCCATACAGCAACATAACGCATAACCTCCCCACCGACTCACAATGTGTCAAATGGTCGTGTTCTGGCACGCCTGTACCCACCTCATAGTCTCCTACATGACCTGCGCATTCGAAGAGGCCAGGAACCACAAAGAACAGACCGCAACCACGGCGCTCATAGACGCCGACTGCTGGATATGCCAACAGCACCAGAAACACCCAGCCTGGGGCGCATCCGGGACAATGCAGCGTCTGCTCATGACCGTCCAGAACATGGAATACATTCTCGGGGTCTCGGCAGATGAAGACGGCTTCTTGGATATGGTGGCCCGGTTTTACGCGCGAGGCGACCACAAGCGCTGGATGCAGCCCGGCGTCGCGAAGGCAAAGTACACCAAGGACGACCCGTATATCCGGGGCTTGGAGGTCCAGTCGTACCTTTGTACCCGGGGGCAACGGGATTTTCACATGAACCCGGGCTATGCGTTTGACATTCTATTTGCGCTGATGAAGCATTGGGATCGCGCGGACTACTCGGATCTCAATTGGTCCATGACGGGTTATCGGCCGCCTAGTGATTTCTTCTATGTGTCGTCTAGTATGATTGGCATGTTGTCTGATGGCTGTGGGGTGGAGCACCGACAGAGGACGGGGGTTGCACATGTGGCTCGGCGATCTCGCTGCTTGTCGAATGGTAGTAGTGTAGTAATGCCGACACAGTCTACGATGGCATCGTTTGGGGTTGGAGATTCGGCAGGCCATCTGAGGACCGGGTCGTACTCGCAGGGCCTCCCAACTCCGTCGTCGCTGGACGCTCAGACTAACTCGCTTCATAATGATAATGGTAATCCTGGTTCAATACTTCCACAGCGTCCGTACGAGACGCTCACTGGGCCACCCGTCGCAATGAATCATTACGCTCAGCATATCCTCCGTCCCTTGTCCCCACTCGGAGAGCCTGGACCTTCAATGGAGAATCGCCCCCAGGCACTGGACGAGAGAGCAGGTCATCATGCACGCACAACCGGTCTCTTCCATCCAATCTTCTCAGCCGAATATGACGGGGACATCTGCACAGATGCGGCCTCGCAAGAGCTAGACCTCCATCACCTCACCACCTACAATAACACCCTGCTGACGGAGAATACGCCATACCTGCACACCACACCCCCTACCCAGATCTACACCGACCCTTCGTCCTTCTCCCTGTCAAACGAACCCACCAGGCACTCATTCAACAAGCCTCACAATCCACCAGAAGACAACCCACACCTCGACATCCTCCTCTTCCCCTCCCCAACGCTGGAAACCGCCATCCCATTCCCCCAAAGCCAAGTCGCCACCATCGACCCCAGCATGCTGGACCTGGACGACCCCGAGCAATTACATCTCCCCAGCGACGTAGCCTACAGCCTCGACAAAGGCAAACAACCTATCAGAGATATCTCGCAACTGGGTCCCCGTGTTCCTGGTGGCGGCGGCTTTATCTTCCCGGACAATATGGATATGAGCCAGAACTAAGGCTGAGAGAGGGCTGTCTTGGTCTAGACCTCGGCCTTGTCTTCCCCCCCCCCACCCCACCTCTCTTACTCTTCTTTTCTATTTATGGGCTTGATCTTGTCTTTGAAGAATTGCCGAGTGGCGACGCATGTACATCAGTGTTTTACATCCACATGAAAGTGGCTTCTCTTGGCGTTTATGCAGGTGCAGGGGGGCGATATTGACGTGTACATCGTGGATCTGGACTTTGCATATTCACATGCGGTTAGGGTTGTGATATCATTGCGGAGGGCTGTTGTTTGTGGAGTTAGTAGTTTTCTTTCTTTTTTTTGCCTTGTTTCTTTGTTTGCGGGGTTGGGGATTCGTACTCGGAGTATGAGCATTGCATTACTTCGACTGGCTGTACATTAGGAGTTTTAATGGTAATTATTGGGGTAATGGTTTTATGGTGAGAGTGCAATTTCTTCTTTTTCTATTTTCTATTTTCTAGTCTTTTTAGTCTTTTTAGTCTTCTTAGTTGGTATATCTCTGTGGTTCGAATCGTTCTGTAGATCCCTCGCGCTTTAAATAGGACGTGATATGTAGTCACATGGTGTAGGCATAGTTAGCAGATCTAACAGATGTCTGAGTCATATTAACGGATTCTTAGCTAGACCTTCGAAGACCATAGACTTCTTGTTTTTAGCACCCATCACGCCAGGAACATGACTATTATCCTGAGCTTCATAAACTATCACAAATCCATCTGATCTTACTCAGACGACAGACGGTCAATCCGCAACGCCCGCCAATGACTGTCCTGACTACGCAGCGGGTCAGCCGGGTACCACCGGTAATGTGGCACTTTACCCTATCATGGCCTCCTTGATGACGCACGATTCTTTTACGATAACATCCCGGGCAAGAAGGCAGCCCGATCGCAGCTGTGCCGCACTGGACAATCCAGCGGGATATGTGATCTTCGGGCTGTGCGGAGCATGACATCACGCGGCTGGGTCCTTCAACGAATTTGAGCTTAGAACGGCGAAAAGAGATGGGCAAGGGAAGAAATGATTGTGTGAACCTAGGATAGCATTCGGGATATAGTGAGATTGGCCTTCTCAGCAGTCGCCGACTGGGAGCCGACGCCTGAAGTCGTACAGACGAGATACAATCTCGAGTGTCGAAGTTCCTTTGGGAGAGGTTTCAACGTGGAATGTGCTAGTACCGGCTTTGGAGGTGCACACGGCCTTAAGGTCGATCTATTCCTCAAGGGCGTCGCCGTCAAGGCTGCCGTTTTCTGCCTGTCCACACTTTTCCGATATGGATATTTCCCTCGATTGAAGCTCTGGTTTAGACCCTGTCTGTCAGTCTAACTTGACTCCCGCCAGACAGTATTTTTACTAGCATTTTCAAATCTTTCAAGGCAAGCCTTTATTTAAACCAATAGGCGTGGATATGTGCGTCTCTGTAGCCCAACATCATCTACGCCTGCGCACCATTCTTAACGAGACGAGTGGCGGACGAGGAAAGCCTTTCTCGTTTCTTCATATATTCATAGGCATGGAGAAATCAGATTTAGAAGACCAAACCGAAGAGAGCCGGTTCATCCAAGTGGTGGGATACTGCAGGTGCTCCGTACTGCCCAAGAGGAGTAGTGCTGAAACCCGTCGCATCATCCTTGACACTCACTTCTGTCCCTGACTTAATAATATACAGCCCACCCCGACGATCATTTGTTCGCCGGCCATTGACGGCCCGTGGGCCGTTATTGTGCCAACCGTGCTCGTTGAAAAAAGTGCCGGACGCGCTCTGGGTAACTACTCCTGCCTCAATTTGATCGTAAGGAAGAAGTAAGACTTGAACATGGTCAAAGTCGGGAAGACGAAGTGATTCAACCGATACAATTGGTCATGTTAAACGGGGCTTGGAAGCCTGTCGATGATGAACAGGCGTGGAGTATCGCATGATGGCAACTATAGGCCTTGCAGTGAGATGCCGATGGGGTTTCCTGTTCGTGATTATACGGAGCAATCAGCAATTGGCGGCATCATAATCGAAGCGAGGTCAAGAGGGAGGAAAAGCGAACACTTCAACACGGATGGTGCTTGTATGAATGTCGGACATTAAATACAGATACACCATGGCGCATAGTAACAATGATCTCGATCCAACAAGAGGTATCACGTGGCGATAGCGATAATGACTCAGCAATGCTATGTATAGCTGCAGACAAACCATGCAAACGGCTCCCTCGGCGGATGCCGTAAGGGTAAACACCCGCGGTAAACAGGGGAAGTTATCACCAGCCACATGTTTCTCGGGTGGTCCGAGGCCTTGCCCCAGCCATGCGGGTGCTCCTCCTTTCCTGCCCTTCATTTGTTCTTTCCAGCCCACACCCCATCTTCTAGAACAGGCTTGCGATGTGATTTAAATTATCGCAATCAACCTGTTTTTATGCGCCAGTCCTAATTGACCTCAGCGACTACAATGTCTTTCCCCCAGGATGCTCGTCGTCGGCGGGTTGGAGCGGGTACCGGCTTCAGCTCGTCGGGCAGGCAAACAACCCTGGGATACTGGGTACCTTTGGCATTGACAGTAGGTGTCGCAGCAGCTGGTGTTGCAGCCTGGATCTGGAGTGAACGCGCTGAAGAAGAAGAAAACGACCGCAATTACCCTCGAGGTGACGATGACTTCCCCGCGCCAGGCCCCAGCGGGGGCGAGCTTCCTCCCGGATACGACGGAGACTATGCCAGGTCCACGGCGACGGATATTCATGACACAGACGATGTTAGCATGGTAGCTCGTATGCAGGGAGCCTTGCGACGCACTCCTAGCCCTCAGCAGATTTTCGATGGTGCCAGCAAGCGAGTCGCAGCGGGTGTGGCTGCTGCGGGCGCGTTTGTAGGCGGCGCTCTGACATCGATCCGAGAAGAAGACAGGGGCGACTTCGAAGATCATTCCAGATGGTCTGAAGAGGTAGAATCGAGAGCCCGCAGGGATCTACCAGATCCCGCTGCACCGACCGTGAGCGGAACGCCTTCTGGCTCAGGAGTTGCTGCTGCCACGTCTTCTGGCGCGAACAAGAAGAAAACGGTAGCTATCGTGGTTTCATCGGACACATCGCGCTTAGACCCAGAAGAGTACACTTCTGATCACGCTGTAAGTGATAATGTTCATTTCGCATAGTTCCACTATACTGATACTGCAGCAGTCTATCCTTTCCCATCTTCCAGAACATATCGACCCCGATACTACTCGAGTCTTTGTTATGATCTACGCCCCGGGTTTGAAGCACGCTCCGAACCAGGGTAACGGATCCCACCCTACCATGTCCGTCACCTCGTCCTATTCAAACATCGCTCCTGAAGAAGTCCTATCCCCCGGTGAGCCACCAAGTGGCGACCTGACCACATCGGACTCTCGCCAGGATGACCAGACACCGCTCTTCAAAACGCTGTATACTCAGGCGCAAGCAATTGCTGAGAAAGAGAGCATGATTATGCCTTTCAGCACCTCCACAGGCTTTGTGCATCTCGTGCGACACATTTCTCCTGACATTGTTTACGTCCAAGAGTCCCTGACTGGAAAGGATGGCGAACCGGTACAGCATATCACCCGGTGGGTCCGACAGGTAGTGATTGTCATCGGCGAGCGAGGAGGCCTCGTCGACAGTGAAGATGAATCTGCCTTGGGCGACAGTGGTGAGAAGTGGTGGCAAAAGGATGGCACGACTGGCATCGGCAAGCGCATTGATGTCGTTGACGTGCTCCGTACGGGAGACGATTGGCGCCGAAGAGTGTCTGGCTTGGACTAGATGTCAAGTCCATTTCTTGGGTGGCTGTGTCGATATGTTTATTTCACTTGTTCATATGTGTCATTTCCCTTTCATCACCCTTACGACCTGCTTTGATTCCCCTGAGTTTTACGACCTATGTTTTCTACTTTGGTAGTGTGTCTGCTGTGCATATAGTCTAGCTATGAGAAGGATATGCTTGGAGGATACCAATACCACGGCCCCGTGTTTCTTGTTCTTCTTTGTACCGGGCACACAAATAATAAGGCCAAAAGCGCCTTTGTAAGCCAATCTCATTGTGAAACCGTAGACTTACAAACACGAACAACACATAGGGTGAGATTCGATGTATGAGGAGAGCAATGGCCCTAACCCGATGCAGTGGTCCGCAGTCACATGATCCCGACCTCCTTCACGTCGCCCGCGGCTTGGCATCACCAAACTCCCTCTGCAGCACCATCGCCGTCACCCGATCAGCCTCTCCGAACCTCCCCTGCCTTCTTTGCAGGTGTTTGTTCGATGGACACTAGTATTCCTCAGTTCTAGCGGCTCCGGGCTCCGTCCAAAGTTCCGCCTCGACTCCGGTCTGTACGTTATCGTCCCGTCCCGTCCTCCGCTCCCCACATGTCTCGCGCTCCGGTTATATCATCTTCGGAGCACGGTTTCCCTCTGTCATCTTCGGATTCATATCCCGAGAAGTCGCGCCCGTAAGCCGCTTGCTGTAATCGCGTCGCATGCCCGTCGCCGACAATATGGCAACGGCGATCTCCAAACCAACCTCCCACCCGCCCAAGATGAAGCGGCCGCCCCCGCCTTTTGTTCAAACCGGGGTCAATGGGGTAAAGCCTCAGCAGTCCTCCTCGTCCCCACAACCGTCCTCCAAGCGCCTTCCGGGCTCCAATCCACCAGGTCCCGCGGGCTCGACAAGTGGTGCGGTCATAAATGGGGTCAATGGTGCGGCTGATTCGAATGGCGTCAAGGGCTCCATTAATCGGCCTAAGAAAGAAGCGCAAAAGCCAGGTGACCAAGGAATTCGGTTAGCGAAGCCATTGGCCAGGACTCTTCCCACGGACAATGAGCGCCGGCTAGGCAAGAAGTGCCCTGAGCCTTATGGTGAGTTTCTGCAAGCTCTATGTGCGGCGCTCCCTGTATACTGACAGCTGTATCCCTTCCAGTGAAAACAACGTCACATATACTGAAGAAATACGGCAAATGCCCCCCGTCTCTCATTTTACATCTTCATCCT